AGGGGCGCGAAAATACGGTGAGGGAGGGGATGCGGGAAGCGAAGATATGGTGAGGGCGGGGGGTAAGACGGCACAAGTGAGGGCAGGGCAAGGGTGCGAGGGAAGCGAAGATATACGGTCGGGGTGGGCGGGGCCATAAGGGTGGGGCGGGAACTAATAGGCCAAGGAAATGATGCGAGAAGGTACGGTGAGGGCGAGGAAGGAGGTACAATGGCGGGGGCGGCGAGGGGAGCAACGCGAGGGCAGGGGGAAAGGGTGCGAGGGAAGCGAAGGCGCCGGGGGGGGGGGCGTGAGGGAGGGGGAGCACGACAAAATCTGAGGGAGCATGGAGGGCGGGGCGGGGCGGGGCGGGGCAGGCCATAGGGGCGGGGCGGGAACTACAAGGAAACGATGCGAGGAACGCGAAGGTAGAGGGCGGGGCGGGAGGTGGAGGAGGGGTCGGCGGATAAAGTCCGAAAAACGCGAAATTTTGAGGATGTCTCGAGCGAGAGCGCGATTTTCAAAAATCAGGAGCGCGACCAGTGCGGTATTTGACCCCCCTAGCAAGAGCACTTTACAGGCGAGGGCTTGTATCTCTTCGATCGATAATCGATAAACAGACGTCGATTTTTTGAGGATGTCTCGAGCAAGAGCGCGATTTTTGAAGATACGAACATCATCCACACTAAAAAATCGAATTGTCTCCAGCAGGAGCGCAAATTTTTGATAATTTATAATTTATAACGTCCGAAAAACGCGAAATTTTGAGGATGTCTCGAGCGAGAGCGCGATTTTCAAAAATCAGGAGCGCGACCAGTGCGGTATTTGACCCTCCTAGCAAGAGCACTTTAAAGGCGAAGGCTTATACTTTTTTGATCGATGATCGATAAACAGACGTCGATTTTTTGAGGATGTCTCGAGCGAGAGCGCGATTTTTAGACGGACATGAGCGCGTCCAGTTCAGTATTTGACCCGCGTTAGCAAGAACACTTTAAAGGCGATGGCTTGTTTTGTTTTTGATCGATGATGAAGGAAAAACGTCGATTTTTTTGAGGATGTCTCGAGCGAGAGCGCGATTTCTGAACCAACATGTCCAAAATGTTTGCGCGACGGAAGAGCACGCGGTTGGGGTGCGGGCGACGGCACATCAAA